CAAAGAACAGAGGACAGTGTGTGGGGGCTGGGAGGGGGGCATTACTGACATAAAAAAAAATTAATTGAGGTGAAAGTTTTGGGCCGACGAAATGTACACATGTATTTCTGAAGCCAGTGCAGATTGTTAAGTTCCCACTTATAACAAGCGCTTCACCTAAGATTGCAGATCAAACTGGTTTCCACTCAGTAATACCAAGATCATGGAGAAACCATATGCTACCAAAACACAGCTGCCAAAACCGCGCAGTCAAACTCAGTATACAATGTACGTTAGCGTGCGTCATAGTTCAATAGTTATTGCATCTTGAAAAGGAAAGAGGAGGTATCGTTTAGTCATGATGCACTTGAGAAGTTTGGAGACCACTCAAGAAGATAGAATTGCTCTAGACTTGGGCGTAGCCGAGAGCAACTTTTTAGATTGGCCTACCCTAACGCATTCATTTACTTTGTTCATAACTGTCAAAACTATCACAAAACTAAATCTGGAACACAGCGGTAGATTTGAAATAGAAATTAATAAAATTAACCGTCGTTGATGCAGTAAGGCGCTGTCAAGAAGCACCTTTTGTTAAGAAATTACGCTGCTTAAGGGAACGGCAACGGGAACGTCGCTAAACAAACGATTTAATGAGCAGCACAATGGCTATTCACGTGCGTTAGNTCATCATCATCATCATCGTCAAGTGAATCCTCGGAGTCTGAGTCATCAGATTCTGAAGGTGACAGGTGCAAAGAGAAGGAGAAACACAGCCCTTCGCACGGAGACAAACGGAGAAGGAAACGGTGAGTCGTGTTCAAAGAACAGAGGACAGTGTGTGGGGGCTGGGAGGGGGGCATTACTGACAAAAAAAAAAAATAAAAATGAAAGTGAAAGTTTTGGGCCGACGAAATGTACACATGTATTTCTGAAGCCAGTGCTGATGGTTAAGTTCCCGCTTATAACAAGCGCTTCACCTAAGAATGCATATCAAACTGGTTTCCACTCAGTAATCACTATCAAGATCATGCGGAAACCATATGCTAGCAAAATACAGCTGCCAAAACCGCGCAGTCAAACTCAGTGTACGTATGCGTCATAATTCAATAATTATTTTCACTGGCAATGATATAACACAATACATACATCATATACATACATACAAGTTTATTCAAGATGTGAAAAGGAAAAAAAGTCATAAAATGCATCTTGAAAAGGAAACAGGAGGTATCGTTTATTCATGATGCACTTGAGAAGTTTGGAGAGCACTCAAGAAAATAGAATTGCTCTAGACTTGAGGCGTAGCCGAGAGCAACTTTTTAGGTTGGCCTTCTCTAGCGCATTCATTTACTTTGTTCATAACTGTCAAAACTATCTCAAAACTAAATCTTGAACACAGCGGTAGATTTGAAATAGAAATTAATAAGATTAGCCGTCATAGATGCAGTAAGGCGCTGTCAAGGAGCACCTTTTGTTAAGAAATTACGGTGTTTAACGGAACGGCAACGGGAACGTCGCTAAACAAACGATTTAATGAGCAGTACAATGGCTATTCACGTGCGTTAGAATTCTTGGTACATTTCTTTGCCGTTCTCTGTAAAAAAACAAACAAACAAACAAACAAACAAACAAACAACGTGAAATGACCAAATTCTGCGTTGTGTGAGAACGTGAACCATGTTTGTTTTTTATACTTATGTTCAG